TCCGTCTTAGTCGTATTGAGTATAAGTTTGTTGGCGATCAGCCATTTGCTGATTTTTAGTAAGGCTTCGTTCAAGCAGGACTGAATGATATTCACAGCTTTATCAGCGTAGGTATGTTTTTGCCATGTGGTTGTTTAAGGAAAGGTTTAAATATATAACAAAGTACTTAATATATGATCTCTCGGGAAACTAGTTAGTTTTGCTTTCCCGAGAGTCCTGATGTTTCTCGAGACTTCGTCTCGGGAAACATCACGACTCTCGGGAAAACAAAACTGTGTTCTGAGGGACCATATATTATTTATAATTTAATACATAAGTGTATAATTGACAGCCTTTGTCTGCTAAAGTACTGTTACTATGTAAAATCCCACTGTAGAGTATTCTTGTGATTGTACCAGAGAGCTTTGGCTTCAACGAGAGTGAGGGTGATTGAAGTACAGAGTAGACGAGTTACCTCCTTATCTGAAGCAATAGAGTTTCTTAAAACCTCGACGGTTTTAAAAAACAATAAAAAAACTGACGTACAGCTGAAAATTCAAGGTACCTATAAATTCTCTAAAAATCCAACGCCCCTACAAAAAATTATCAAGTAAATATTAAGTAAACTGGAATTGGCAAGGAATAATTACAAATCTAATATAAACTGTGTTAGTAATCATGCAATTATTTTTTGCAATTGAGTACTTGGTTGAAACTGGGAAAGAAAAAAGTAAACAAAGCATTTACCTGAGGGGGTGCTAGGAGACTTTTGTGGAGGTTTTAATACTCTGTAGGTGAGGAATGGCACCTATGCACTTCTGACAAAATATCTCAGGTGCCGTGTCTAGCTTTACCAATAATGTTAGAATGAAACGTAATGAAGATTCACTATCTACTTCTTCTATAGTTTTTACTTTGATATGTAATTGATTTTTGTGATAACCGTCGGCAAAAACATTTTCGACGACTTCCTTAATTAAGAGCGGTATCGCTCACAGGATAACAGCAGTTCCGGGTAAGACCAAATTCCAAATGAATGCTCATTCAAAATAATTTATTAATTCGTCTAAGAGCCCTCAGTGTCATGTTTTGTTTCCTAACCACGAAAATGACCGATTTTTACAAGTCCAGGAGGCGATAAAATCGAATAAAAAATGGATTCTTGAAAATGAAAGTCTCAGTCATTGCAGAAATTTGGCGTAGTTTCTCAAGGAAAATATTTATTCCGTACATCTGTAGAAAAAGGTATTGTATCTCTTCTGTTTTTTTTCTTAAAATCACCTGCTAACAAAGGGAACCTCTGCAGAGACCTTCTGTTGATAAACATCCAATAACTCCTGTTTTTTTCAAATAGCTAGGTAAAAAACTTCCTGACGAATGCTGAAATATTAGTCTGTAGGCTAAAATTTTTTAATGCGCAGTCGACCCGGGTTCGGTCTGATTACCAAAGAAAAACACTTACTCTTCTGCAGAGCTTTGGAAGGTAGTCTCTTCTTTTCATTCATTCGGTAAGTCCCATATCTATGCCATCAGAATATGAAAAACGAATTCAAATAGGACAAGTAATAGATAATGGGGCTATCACAAAATCTTTTTTAGGACTAGCAAAATGCATGCGTCTAACAAAGACATTCATTCTGAAAACTGTTCACCGAAGAATTAGGTAATTCTTGTCAGAGTTCACTTACTGTTACAGGCTTGTCTCACTGTTTTGCCGTTCACAATGATTCGAATTAACGCTATCATTTAACTCTGGTGCCACTTACACTAGCTAGTGACACAGCTATACTAAGACTGTCGTAACGAGGACAGAGACCGGGAAAAGTTCAAATTAAAATTCTACATTTACCCCCTTCAATCCGTTTGATTTAGCCAGATTCGTCAGAAGTGATGGCCATAATTTAATGTGGCATAATTTTGATTAAAACAACTTTATTTCATCCAAGTTTCGAAATCATCGATCCCAGATGTAGAAATTTCGAGTAAAGCACGTGCTCTCCCGTGGTATTCTCATGATACCTTCTACTACACTATCGTCACAAGATATATGTCTATATCACATAAACATAAACGTTCACAAGTTGCCATTTAATTCTCCCTACCTCTGTTATTTAATTATCGTATCATCTGTGGATCCTCAAAATAGGCACGTAATACATACAAGCGGAGTTAAAAAAAAAGAAAAAGCCAGGGCAAAATGGCAAAAAGTAAACAAGAAAATATCGCCTTCTTTTTCTTCCCAATTTGACCGCTTGTTGTTGGTGTAAAGGGGAAAATAAGCGAAATGAGACCTGACTAGCCCTTCTAAATACTTTTAGACGGATTGCACAAACCAGCAGATATTTGCAAATGATATTTACTACCAAGTAGTAACCCAAAGAAGCAACCGATGTGAAATTCAAGCGAAAAAGAAATTGATTCGCAATATATTCTTTAATTGAGCGGTAGGGGTAAAGGGAACTCTGCGTTTTGCGGAACAGTCACAGACAGCCTGCGGCACCATGTTATTTTGCTGCAATTTCTTTGCGCTTACATTCTGCAAACTCATTCTTCCTTTCTAAACATGCAAATTTGAAAGCAATTCACTGTAAATCAGTGTCACATAAATTCAAGTAATATTCGTGACGACAGTCAAGAAATTTTTACTTACTAACGTGCCATAGAAGCATGCGAATGACCTTAAAACACTTGAACTTTAGGTGACGGGCTTATTCGCTTATTTTGGAAAATAAAAACGGCATTGACCAACAACGAGCATTTTGGAACACAAATCACTTTTTCTTCGCCATTGTAGGAACTAAAACTCATGGAGTGTTGAGGTTTTGAGACGTTTTGTAGTAAATGATCTCTAAAACGACTTACCGTCAAGTGTTACCCGGAGCGGTACGAAGACACGAAGGCGTTCTCGGAACATAAACACACACAACCCAAAATTCCTCTGCTCACTCTGAACGTCAGCTTTATAACTCTTGACGGTGGCCAATTTACATTATCAACTCAGTTTATAAAACCAAATTACCTTGTTGTACTCTCTACCGACGCAGCATCACAGTTTCTGTAGAAACTTACTCCCTTAATTCAAACAGTTCCAGAGTTTGGGGCAGAAACAGGAAAGGGACTTCAAATCAAAGTTTTCAAATCAGTTAAATGTAAGTGAGAGACAGTTTATTTAAAGCCTTGAAAATGAGGAATAGAATCTTGAATTTGTGTGTTCAGAAACAAGAAGCTAGTATAATTTAGTTAGAATTGGAGTGATGTGATCTTACCTAAAAGGAATGAGAAAAAGGCGAGCGGCAACATTCTGTACAGATTGAAGCTTTTCCACACCATACATCGGCACATTATGCAAAGGGAGTTACTTTGGTCAAGTTTAAAGGACACAAAAGCATGAACGAGATTCTAGGTAGTCTTCGTGAATAGATATTTCCTAAAACGAAAAATGTTGCCCAGATGGAGGAAGGCTGATTTACAAACGAAGTTGACATGAGGTAGTATAGTCATGGTGCATTACACCAATATTTATGGCGGATTAAAACTGGATGAATTTCTTCTTTTCCGAAATGGTGGTAGGGACCACTGCAAGCCGTATTAAGAGCAGAAGTAAAGAAGTTCAGGTTGGTTCTTGTTCAGTTTTAGTTTTTTTTAGACATCCACTTGTCAGCCAAGCATTCTTCAAGTTTAGTAGTAGTGTTGATCATTTTCAGGTCGCTGTTATTCTACTGTTCTTGCTTTGAACACGAAAGTTATTGTTTCAAACCAGTGGCTTAGGCAGTCGGAGGTTGCTTCGAACTATCGAAACCATTACGCACATTGTCGTTCATTTGTAATATTCTTGTAAAAGTATTTGGGTTAGTGTTGTATCAACAAATGTTTGATCTCTCAAGGTCAGTTAGCTAGCATGTCTACCCATGATGATTATCAATATAAAACACATGGCATGTACTTTAGAGCTTACTTAGTAAGAGAATGTAGGCAGAATTCAGTGGCTGAAGTAATTGTTTAGCAGCACAAGTCAATGAGAAGACAGTGAGAATCAAAGTGTGAGAGTCTAAGAGACAATCAGAGTTACATTGAGTGAAAAGACCTTGATGTAAGTAGAATAAATTTTGTACTAGAAAACCGACAGCAAACGACACTTGGAGAGTCTTCGATGCCTTTCTCTTCTCCTTTCTGCTGCCAGTTCCCCGACTTTGCGACCCAACATACTTGGTGAATTGCTTCCTAACGCATGAGTAGTTTTCAGCTATTCATGAAAAGTTGCTTTGAAGTAACGTCGGTCTCCCATGCTTCGAGCTGTTTGGCCAGTCCACTGTTTCTTACTAATCTCTCATTTTAAGACTGAATTAGGACGACCTTCTTTTTTATCGGAAGATCGTTTGGTAAAGTAAAGGAAATCACAGAAATGTGATCGGGAACGAACCTTCCTCAAAGGAAATATATAGCCGACAGAGCATTTTTCAGCTTTAACTTTCACCTTAGTCAATAAAAGTGTTACTATCAGTAGGTTTTTAAGAGTGTTACACACAAATTTTAATGTACGATTTTTATTCCTTCCTTTCCCCGGCCAAACTGTTAAACAGATCTTGATTCTAAGCTAAACTACAAACTCTCTTTGGAAAAATTGCCTCATTTAAGTCATAACAACATCAAAATGAACTCGATGAGTTGGGTTTGTTCGACACATTTGCCAGAATTGAAAAAGCTCTAAAAGCTTTAAACCATACATTAATATTATGACAAGAGATACAGGAGAAAGATATTAGTTCTACAATAAACATTAAAAAAAAGCTTTTTTAATTATATAGACAATCATTCAAGGAACCGAGATTCATTTGATAAGGTGGATAAGGTTTCGTGGTTTTTTAGAAAGTAAAAAACCATCAGCACAAACAAAACTTGCTGAGCTTTTTACATAAACTTACGATTGACTGACCATAAGTGTGTGTTCGTTTGACGAAAATGTTTCTAAATAAACCGACCATTTACCTCAACAGACCGCGTGTTACTGGCAACCAGTCTAAATGAACCATTCAAGTTGCTTCACAGCAGAAGACGGCTCCGTCTCACGTACACAGTCAATTATCTCAGTTAATGTAAACATGGCCCTACTTGTGTTGGCGTCTCTGTGCAACATTTCAGCAAAAATGATTTTGTTTCGACGCGCACTGCGCGGAAAGATCATGGCCCCTTTCATGATCAACCTAACTGCGATCTCTTTGGTACAATCAACATTTGGCTACACCCTGACGTTAGGTATAGGCTCAGTTGAAAGATCATCGAAAGGTTACTTTCTGTGTCGGTGGGTAGCCTTCACAGACCTTTTCTCCCAGTGTGCGTATTCTTTCACCTTGTGCGCGATGAACGTTGTGTCAAAGCTAGCCTCTGATCGATGTTTCCTTGGAGCATCACAGCAGATAACAAAGAAAAGCAAAGGGATATTCTTCACAGCATCTTGGTTATGCTCCATTGCTTTTAGCAGCATACTTTTAGGTGAAGAGAGTTTGTCTGTTCCTTCGGCGTCAAAGAGGACGTGCCATCTGGACTGGGCTTCTCAGGAAACGCATGTTTTTTTCTTCAACCTTGCTGTTATCCTCGTGTTTTTTCTTCTGCCCTTATCTATATGCTCCACCATACAATATTTTTGTTCCAGGTAAGTAGCAATTAGTGAGAGTTTTGCCACCCTTACTGTTATCAATTTCTAAGGACTTTGAATTTCTCTGCATGGATTCAACGGACAAACCCCAAGTACCAAAATCTAGTGGATACCATTACTCTAAGGGTGGCATTCTTATTTGAAACAGACGGAAGAACCAGGATAGAATAACAAGTCTGGTCCAGAAAATGCGACAATCACAAGTAGCAGTCATTCTGATATACAATTAGCCGCCACTCTGGTAGAGGCAAATACAGACACAATTACTTCATCTCCTTGAATGTTTCTGAGCACTCTCCTTTATTCCACCACCTTTTGCATTCTAGAGTAAATAGCTGGTTAAATGTGATAGTGTGTCACACTAAAAAAAACTTCCCAAGCGTCCGTTTATCTATTGTAATCATTTTGCTCTCCGGCTCTTCGTTTTCTTAGAATCTGGAAGAACTCTCGCAATATAGCAGACCGCACTCGCAGAAGAGGCCTGGCGTATCGAAGAAAATCTAACCGTATGGTAATTGCCCTAACTCTATGTTTCTTTGTGAGCCAGCTTCCCCTTTGCATGGCCAACATAATTACTATGACAACAGGGTGTTACAGCTATCAATTTCAAACAGCGTTCATTTTGGAACTTCTCGCTAAATCCAGTGCATATCAAGCTCCTCTTATTTACGCTTTTTTGAATGCTAGTTATAGGAATACCTTAAAACAAATACTCATGGGCTCCCACGCTGCACAAACAAGGCCAGGTGCTCGACCTGTCGGAAATAATCCTCGAGAAGGAATGGCAGCTACCAAGAATTGTCAGCAAGGAAGGAGGCCGCACATGCTTAACAACAAGGTAGACCAGTCACCAAAAGCAACTCATTCGGCAGACGAGCAACTAAATGGCATGGAAGAAACCCCAAACACCCCGATGAGTCCGAGCTCGACTTAAGCGGACGGTAGTTCTTAAATTAGTTCAATTGAACCCGAGCGAAATGTAACAGAAACGATCAAACAGAAAAGAGGTTATTACTTCTATTTGTTCAATACTTATTTCATAGCGAACTTTCAATTTAAGGACCAATAAAATTAGAAGACGTTCAGTGACAAATGAAGGGATTATCAGTGATTTTATTTTCTTTTCCACTTGCTTTGACAAGACCACTCAAAAAAATTCTCAATCCGCAAGAAAACCTACTAGTTCAAATTTAAAGCTCAAACTTTCGAAAATGAATGTATGCAAATAATAATAAGGCGCCTTTGATGAAGATTAAAACTATGGGTTTCTCTTTCTTTACTCTGCCAAGAACGTTCCCATACAACTTCTTCAATCAGTTTCTAAAACGTCCTTGAAGTAACCGTCCATGTCACTCATTTGAGCTAAACAAATAATGGCAGCTGCAGCCTATCGTTTGATAGGGAAACAAGCGAGCGAATTGTTTAAGGATATGGTTGACTTTTGTGGGCCTTTCGCGAAAAATGTTTACGTGTTATTGGAGTGGTAACAACCATAAAAAGGTTACCAAATGTACTATCCAACAAAAATTGTTCCTTTTTAGCTTGATCTTCTAGCAAATCGACTGAGGCGCGGCCATTCGAAACGGAAAATTAATCAGGTATCAATTCTAACCACACAAATAAACCTTCTGCACAACTTCAATCCTACGAAGTTGGTCTTCAAACCAGTGGGGAGGTTTCTCGATATTCTCATTGGTTGCTTTGTAATTTTTCTGTCAAGCTTACTTATCGCTACTTCAGACGCCGTTGGGTGAGATCAATTTGTAAAACCCCGGAAGGTTTAAGAGAATACACAACAACTAACAGCGACATGCTTTAATTCGACTAATATTCAAATTCCACTTCAAAATAAGAAGGATCAAAAACGTGGACTCGCACATAACCATCTTCGCCGCCACTGCTATAACTGCAAATGGAAGGAACATTTCAGTAACATGCTAACGTAACATCGAAGATAAGTGCTAAACATCATACCAGTCTTATCAGCCTCCTAGGCAACATATCTACAAAATAATATATCAGCCAACATATCGGCAACATATCTGCAAAATAATTGCCTCCCTCCTTCCAACTGACGCATACTTGCACACGTTAGAATTTCTCTCCACATTCTATGATGTACATGCACATACCTTAGAAGCAGTTAGGTGTGTCGCAAAACTGGGTTTCAATAGACCGAGAGACTAGCCAATCAAAATTTCTTCCTTATATAAAGTTAATCATAGTTAGTAGAGGGGACTGGTTATGAAACCCGGTAAACATCAAAGCTTTAAGGAGGTTAGATATAGTTTTTCACTTTTCTGATGCAAGATATTTAAACTAAAATTACGAAGCTTGGCTCTAACGAATCGCGATTACACTTTCCCCTGAAATAAAGATATCATTGAAGAATCGGTTTGTTGTAAATATATTGAAAAATTCGTTGCCATGGCAACGTTGCTGGCTTGCAATGCTGGGTCCAAAATTAGACTTGACTTGAATTTTCTTAAAAACTGGACGGTGAATTTATTTTAGATTTTGCACGCGTCCTTTGACTGTCTTGGTCTGCTTGACTGTTAAATTTAAAAACATTCTGTCAGAAAGTTTAAGGAAAAGAGGCCTTTTTTAGAATTCATCGTTAACTTTTTTTCCCTCTGACAGAATTTTTTCGAATTTTTGAAAACACGCACAGAGCCGTTCAAAGTTAACGTGCAAAAAATAAAAAAAAATCACCGATCGGAAACGGAAATACGTAAGTCTAAAGTTTCAAATTTCTGAAAATTTCGACTCGACAAGATGGGCAATTGCGAATGCGCAACATTTGTGTCACGCCACGACACTTGCCACGGACGCCACAAGGTTTTGGACGTCTTCTTCGCGGAACGTCCTTCGCGCTCTTCTAAAGAGCTTAATTTTGCTAAGAGAGGTTCACCTTCTGGGTGGATTGCGCCTGGAAATGGCTGCTGCTCTATTTGCCTTCAAAGTGCTGGATTATTTTGTGCAAAGTGTCGGGATGTTTTGTTCCTCTTGGAGCTGATCGACGCGATGTGGTTGGCGATTTGCTAAGAATGGAGACCACTGCCTCCTCCCACCGTTGTTGTAAAGATCTTTTAAGTCATCGTAACACAGACCGCTTTCTGCAATTTTCTGAATGATGTTTTCTTTGACGAGGAGCCCGTTATCGCCCTGTGAATAGAGCTTGTCTTTGAAAGTTTACATGCGTTCGTGGCGTCCGTCAAGAAAGTCCATGTCTACGAAAGCGAAGGAAGGGGATTTCACATACTGTTGTTTACAATGTCAGCGCTTGTTAGCTGCAACGGGGATTGAAAGAGGACATAGTGGAGGGAACGTACATCTTCCAAAGCATCGTGTGCGTTGAAATCTTTATAAAAAAACAGCTTGTTACACAGAAGGGAGATTGCTTTTACATGATTTTCCGTCAGAATTGAGAAGAGCGTTACCACCTTTAGCGAGTGTTTTGATGAGTGTAAGGTTATCGGCGAAAAACACTTTCTTCGACGATAATGTTTCTTTATTTGAATTTCCAGCACATCGTAGGAGCGTAAGAGTGTCGAACACAGAAGAATTATGGCCAATTAAAACGGTGTGACAATGCTTACTGCTGGAAAGGAAAGTGGTAAAAGATTGAAGACATTCGCTCAGGAGTGTACTGGAACAATCTCTTTGAGCAAAGTTCTCTCACCATTCACAGTTTTGACAGTGACTTGTTTACACGAGAAGCGTAGCTGCTGATATTGCATGTAGGTAGCACCTATTTAGTGTTCCGGAAACCAGCCACGATATGGGAAAACAGCTCCGACGATCGCGATCGTGTTTGCGGCCGGATTCACGCGTATTTTGGTCACTTGAGAGTGTTGTAGCTTTCCGTTTTTGAAACACACTACTAATAAAGTTAGAAGAAAGTGTAGGCAGCCTACCTAGAGGCGTAAAACATAGTCTACTAGGCAGATGAAAAAATGATTCTGGCCTAAACGCGGCGGCCATGTTTGTTTGTTTGTGTTTTTCTTTTTTGCAACTTTTAAAAGTCCCGGGTAAATTAGAACCCAGTCTGCGCGCGCACAATTTTCCGTCGCAGTTAGAAATGTAAGTTCAAAACGTTGCAATTTCAAGTTGTAATTTCGCGCTACTGAGCTTAAATTTGCCACGTACAGATGGGCTACTCGACGCATGAACAAACGAAATTCAACAAACGCTCGCGTAAAAACCATGCTTATATATTGCCGTTTCTTCAAAGGCAATCTTCTTTCGGGCTCCTGCGAAACAAGAAATACTTATAAAAAGCTTCTAAAGAGCTCAAATCTCCGGAATGTAGTGATGTGTCGAAATTATTTTAAGTGGTAAACCTTGTAATTGACGGAGCTTCGCGGCTTCACGATACTCTCTTGATCGAAAAAAGTGGCCACCGAATTTTTATTTTTAAACTCTTTAAGTAGTTTATTTATTTTACAATGGTAACGTTTGTAATATCTTTGTAGGCTCAGCGTCAATAAATTGTTTGTCAAAACAAGAGGAGGTTATGACAGACACAGGGCTGCAAAACACAACAATTTGAACAATCAACAGGAAGGACTGGAGCAGGTGCAACAGTTAACCCTGAGTGTTCTTGCAGAAATAATCGACTGTGCTGTCCGCAGTGTTAAGGAAAGTTTTTGCAGAAAATTTAAGGAAGGGGCTCAGTAATTACTCATACCAACAGCTACAAGAAGACAGCAATGAATTCTCTGCTATAAAAGCAATTTATGAAGGATATACAAGAAATGGAGATGCAGAAAAGTTTTATGGCAAATATTATGCAACAGTTGCTGTAAAGTCAACCCAATTCTTTAGTGGACTTTCTAGGAATGCAGCAACACAACTTGCAACCAAAGTTGCTGACTGTTTGCTGACTTACTCTAAGCAACAAAAACACTCTATTGAAAGCAGTCATAATATAAAAACTGTGTTGTCAGATAAGGAGAAAGCTGAGATGCAATATCTTGGAGGTTATGTTCTGCACAACTTACACAAAAAACATGAATGAACTAACTCATTGGAGAGCCAACAAGCTATGACAATACTGAAAGCTGGGAAACTGGAGAGCATAACTGACTCTGGCCAGAAACTTGTTTCAGCTTTGAATCGAGGGGGACTTTGGTCAATCACTCAGCCTGCACAGCAAATATTTTTAAAAACAGAATGTCATTTTAGGCAATTCACATCAAAACCTGATTTACAAAGATTGGATATTTCTGGCATCACTAACAAAGCAACCAGTGATAGTGACATCCTTGCTAACTACAATTTGATGATATCAGATGCAGAACTTGAACCGGACAGTCATGTTTGTAAGGATGTCTTGCATGGCATTGTTAGTCTGTATGTACATGTACATTCGTTCTCTTTTGCCAAGGATGTCATTCAGCATTACAAGATCAAAGCAACCCAAACCAAAGCAAGCGCTTTACGCAAGGAAATTAGTAGAAGTCGTCAAGGTGATGACCAACAAAGGCAGGAATGAGACTGTTAATTCACATTTTTATTTCTTAATTAGTAGCTTATGATCAGTACCACCACTTGCAGTGAGGAAAATAAATGTAATGTTAACTCTGAATTTTTTTAAACTTTGATTCAGGCTTGTTAAAACAATGAAATTCACTCAAGTTACCAGTGAGATAGATTATAAGAACTTGGGAATGGATCTTTAATAAATTATATTTCTTGTTTTATATGCTCCTAATAAAATCAAACTTTTATACCCTTTTAAAACAACTATTTCTACTTTCCTGAAACCCTAAAGTGTGTCAGCCAAGAGTATTTTATCAGTAGACACTAGTTGATGACCAATTAACTAAAAAGGGCCAATTAATTCTTTTTCACGAAAGGGACTTTATTTAGACACAGCCCTTTTGTTGTCACTAAAWCCTCCTACCCCTGTAACTGCACTGAAAAGTCAAATGAAATATAGATGGTTACAATTTGGCAATGACAACAAATTTAAAGGAAAATTGCTTTCTGTCATTGTTATGTGAACATGCACTAAAAAATATTCATCAAATGACATGAGATAATTGTATCTTACAGTTTTTTTCTACATGCTTTTACGGTCTTTCTTGAGAAAAGCATGTACTCCAAACATTGTGGGAATTCACCTTCCCCAATATGTACTATGCGTGCACATGAGACGGCAGTCCTTTGACCTCCAGAAACCTTTGCTGGGAAACCACTCACCCTGCTAACATGTCTGAAGTGGGTCTTCATTTTATGGGAATTACATGATGAAACAGCTGGCTTGTTAATTCACTGGATTCCCCTCCACAGCAAAGTTTATAGCGCTCTAGCTCTCTTACAATTTCACATACTGAAATGTTTCTGACTGAACGCCGGTGAGCAACACAGAGGGATGACCAAAGCTTTCACAGTGTATGCAAGACTGTCATCGATCATTATTTCTACTTCTGGGAGAAGGAAAGGTTCTACAATCTTTTTCAGAATAAGTCTGTCTGACATTGTTTTCAATTTCCAAACTTTCAGGGTTTTCAAGCAAGTGATTCGCTGGCACAATTCACCAAACGACTTGTAGCATGCCTTGGGTTGTTGATCGTGCTCCTTGACAACCGATCGAGCAGGTCTTGGCGCAGAGCTTGCAGACTCGTGACTTTTCCTTGGCATGTTTACTACAGGGATGGCGCCGAATCGTGGTTTCTCCTTCGTCATTTTCGCCGTTTGAACTGCATTTGAAAATAAAGTAAAACACAAATAAGAAAGATGAAAATTAACCTTCAAGAAAATTTCACAGAGATCGTAAATAAACAAAACAATATGGAGCATGTACTTACATATTTCGAAATCTTCTACGTCGAAGTGTTTTTCACAGGTAAACATCTTGTCGTTTCGATCCTTTTTCGAAATTCATGGTCGATCTCACGCATCTTTGTGATCTCACTCAACCAATCGTCCTGCCTTTTCTTGTGTGCCTCGTCCTTCGCTGCAGGCAACTTCCAAATACCGATCCCTATCGTTCTTCTACAACTCTCACAGCCAAACACAGCGCGGTTAACTCCAGGCACGAGGACTAATGAGTAGTGTAGCTATAACACTCATCGAATCGAGATTAATCTAAGCTAAAAATCCGGCGAAATACGTCACTCCGATCGCCATGTTGATTTTCCTTGTGCACGGTCATAATGATCACGTGACTAAGGGAAACAATAACAAAGACATCGGCCTCTGATGTTTACCGGGTTTCATAACCAGTCCCCTCTACTAACTATTTAAACAATAGAGTGTTTCTGTCGAGGAACTATCGGCTGATAGTTGCCCAGCGGAAATTTGATGTTCTTAAAACAAATATTTGCCCGAGAAGCAAAGCTTCGTGGGCAAATATGCTAGTTTTAAGAACATCAAATTTCCAAGGGGCAACTACCAGACCGATAGTTCCGAGACATAAACACTCTATTGCTTTTATTGTTCACCACTAAATTTCTTCCGCGCCTACAGCTTGTCACAAATGTCAATAATTCGCAACCGTACATTGGCTAAATAATACGTTATACCTGTCAGAATTAAAAAGTCACTGTTTTTCCGATCTGCCTAACTTCGCGGCCGCCAAACTATTTACAACTTTTCACGGATGAGTACTATCAATCCAGGTATTTTCCGCGGACGAGCACTATCCATCCGGGTATTTTCCGCGGGCGGGCACTATGGGCTGATAGTGTCCCTCCACGGATGAACGTCACGTGATCGTCATGGCGTCACGTGATCGATTTAAACCAATAAGAACCGGAGAAAATTTAGTGGTGAACTATAAGAGTTAATAGAGTCGTTTGATTCTGATGATTTCCGGCTTAGGCTGTCGAGACGTCAGTCAACAGTCCCTCTCGATGCTACGCTCACCCGGACAAACAAACTACACGCTTTCACTCAGAAATACTTTATTTTAAACAATTAGAGAGTTTTCCCAGTAACAAAATCCTTAACCTTGAAAGAACATTTGCCACAACGGTTACCTTTAACGGAGCTGGTGGTCATTCGTTTACTTTGATATTCTTTCAAACTATTGAAGGCTAATCAATTTTGAAAATATCGTTTACCTCAGTTGAACCCTTTAAATTTTCAGCTTTGAACAACTCCGAAATATAAAACTCGAAGTAATTTGCGGGTTCGCCGTGTACATTTTTTTTTTTTTACCTTCTTGCTGTGTTGAATGTAAATAGGGCAAAAATTCGAAATGTTCTCGAGTCTCTGTTTGAACTCGTAGGTCACTATTTCTAGGCAACCAAGTTTTATTAATGACGTAATAAACACGACTCAACCGCAAAGTGCTTTCCAGCTAAACTAAAGAGCGGAGTTGGAGTTAGGGTTGGAGTTTCTCTCCACAAGAGAGAAATCAAATTGACATGACTTATCCAGCCTTTCCAGGCCAACTTTTGAAAGTGTCCGAAAGTTGCTCAAACCTACAATAGTAGGATCCTCGGTGCTTAATCTTGTTCGGCTCATTAAACCCAGCTGTTTAATTGAAAAGGTAGGAAATTTAAACGCTTCTAGATCAAAAGCTTTTAATCTGAGTGAACCAAAAAAGGACCACATCACCACAGCGTTCTTTGCCGCCATTTATTTGATTAGGTATTACTTGAACAGGCTTTAGTGATTTCTTGCCGTCGAGGCACATGTTAAAATGAATGGTGCTAAAAAGATAGCATTCGATTTTGATAAGAACGAAAGAAATGTCTTCAAGAGGTGGAAAAGACTAGAATTTCATCGACACAGGCACAAATTACAACAAACTTAATGGAATGAAATAATGACTCTTTTTTACCTTTTTCCGTCTGGATGAAAAGCAGTACTGTTAATGGGGCCAAAATGACCTTTCACTCGACCAATTTCTTCTTCAAATACTGTGTGAAAGAACCTTGCATCAAATTTGCCAACTCTCGTTGAAGTTGTAGTAACATCCATGGCCTCTTGGCCGCCTCCTAATACCACCTACGACGCACAAGAATAGTCAAGCGTTCTAAGGGTACAACCATGCAATACAGAGTTTGATACCATTTGAGGTGTGTTTCGGTACTGTAGAGTTGGCATGAACCCTTTCGTTACTTTGGAGTCTTCACGCCAAAGTAATACTTTCTTCCAGGAGGAAAAACACGAGAGTAATTAACTAAGACAAATTAAATAAACACAGGCGCTGATAAAACAAAATCTTTTCTTGTTCTCGTATGGTAAACAGACCTATCAGGCCAAGGGACTCTCTAGTCCAATCCTGTTTTCTGATTGGCCACCCGAGCGGGCAGGATAGGCCCATTTAGCTCGTGCAAGAAAAAAATTGCGTGAAACAGACTTCCAAAGCTCGTAGTTTTTGGACCATGTCGGCGATGAAGTCGCAAAAAGCAGCAAAAGACAGTCAAAGCAAACAAACAAAAAAAGAAGATCCCCGTGGGTTTATTTTGCTACAAAACACAGTTGACTTTCTTTCCTGACTCTCGAAATAAACAAGTCATTCTTGATTCTTAATGAAGCGAAATCTTTTTGTTCTATAATAAGTCCTTTATTGACAAAGCTCGTTCGGTCTAGATGGCCAGATATCAGCCTCGTTCTTTTTTTTGCGTTTTTATAGACCTCGACTTCATCTCGCCAAAAGCGCAAAAAGAAAGAATCCGGCTATTTTGACTTCACGCTTGGTCGACGAGCCTCTTAGTTGTGATATTATTCCCTTGGAACAGTGCTATCGATCATGCCTTCGTTAAACCAGAATAAAAACAATATTTTAGCGAAGGGGTTGAAGTAAGGCCAAGGACCGTTACCGTTTCTACGGCAAAGGTCATAAAAGGTCGACAAATTCAAAATAAAGGAGTTCAAGCTATATATATATAAATTATGCGTAAATGCACGCGTGAGGTCAAGATGGGTGGATATTGTCCGAGTTCATTTTTGCGTTTTTATGGACCAGGACGAAGTCGAGATCCATACAAGAATGAAGCTGATATTTAGCCATCTTGACCGAACGAGCTTTAGGTCTTCACCAATTCAATGAAAATAACACTTACATGTTCTCTGATGGGGGACAGTGAGGCAGAATTTACTGGTCTCTCTGTCTTGTACGTATTCATGTGTCGCAGCGAATCTGTGTCAAAAAGCTTTGAACAAAGGCAGGAAAAAGTTCAGAGCTGTACAGGGAAAACTTAATCACCGACAAACAATTAACCAAAGAGAAAAAATGGAGAATGGACTAGTCAATGGATTGCATAAAAGTAAAAATACAGCTGTGTCAAAAAATGATTTTACAACGAAAACTCTAAAGTAAGCCTACGGTAATGTTGTAAATTCAATGGAGTTTTTTCACTCATTAAGAAAAAAAAATGCAAGAAGAAGAGTACAATTGACACCTATACCTTGGCTGTATGATCTTTTGAAGCCGTAACAAACATGGTTTGATCTTTGTACATCTGTATATCATTGATTTGTTTGGTATGTTCATGAACAGTTAACAATTTATTTCCCGTCTGAAAATAGAAAGGTGAAAAAGTAATGTCTCCTCATACAAACTGTAAATAGTCTGATCCCCACCAAAAAAACAAAAAAACAAAAGAATTATGGGAGTTAAGAGTGGGACCTGGCACTTGGTTGTAACAACTGAACATTGTTACCTTGGTATGTAAGATGACTCAAAATGATCTTATTAAGTTATAACACATACTTTTGATCAATGGTAGCATCCACACTTTGATTTGTTTCCATGAAAGTAGTGCAGCTATAGAATGCCCAATTATCTTTGAACATGTTGAGATTACTTGTCTATTTTCTATTAGTATAAATTCAGAGCTGTGCAAAGAGTTTCCAGAAATCTGATTAGTCGAGCAGTTCCTTATATGATGCTATATAAACTGCTCCAGTGGTTTATATAAAATGTTAGAATAAAATGTTGATAAATGTTACCAAAATGTTATGATTAATTAGAAATTTCTCTGTTGTTCAGCTCTGAAATTATACTAAAACAATTATCCGCCTCAGGTTCGATGAATGTTGTTGAATAATCCCTGAGACGAAGTCAAGGGGATTATTCGGCGATATTCACCTCGCCTTGGGCGAATAATTGTTAATTATAAGTTCATTAACAAAACATGCATATGTATAACCACTACAGCATGTTAGAAACATCTATAATTATTATAATACTAATCAGTATATCAAGATTCATCTTCCTGCAGAGTCTTTGGAAAATTCTGTACATACAGTTCAGAGCCAACTAAAATTGTTCACAACTTAGATGGCTCAGACCCGCTTGTAAAATGTTTTCAAAACCCTGCAGAAAGATCAGTCTTGATATAATACATGTAATTGCAATCCATTTTTTAAAAACATGGGGGTTACCAAACTGTTTTTTATACTACAGGTGCATAAAAGCTAGATCATGGGTGTTTCTAAGAGGATGTCGGATCACAGTGGTAACCTTAGATGTCACAAATACACATGTACCAATAATCACAAATTTGTTTAGAAATTGACTGTGGGAGATGATCAGTTTTAATAACTGTGGACAGCAAGTAAGTGTACCTCAACTTAATCAGAAGAGAATCCTCTCACAAAATTTACCAGCAATGTGCAGCTGACTCATGGCACTGATATACTTTATTAATGCAAGGTTACTCGAGAACCAAATAAAATGTCCTTACTCTTCTGGACTCTACCAACAGTACCAAACTATGAAAGACCACTCTAATCTATGGTAATGGTAATGGTGGTAATGGTAATGGTTTATTAGATATGAATTCGGCACTAAAATGAAATACTTCATATTTACAAGAAATTACAAAAAATATTTAAATTAAATGAGACTATATAAATAAAACATTTTGCCGGGGGACTGGGTTACCGGCTCACAAGATTCTATTAACAAATTATTACAAATGTGATATAAGTCTATTGCGATAATTCATTAAGCTTTGACGTCATTGCGGGAAAAAAACTTATTTGAAATCATTTTGTCCTACATTTAAAAAGAGTCAAGTTATTGCTGGCGCGCAGCTGGGGGCCATGTGCGTATAGTCTTTTCTGTGGAATTAATGATGACAACTGTGAGTTTTTAATTTTCTTGAACTGTTCGAGGCTAAGACGTTCCCTATTTTCTTCCAGTGTGGGGTAATTCAAAACATTACATGCAGTTCTGTAAGAAATTAGTGGTTGGATTATCCTGAAAGCTCTTCTTTGTATCTGTTCTAAATTGTCCACAAGGTAAGATGGAAGACTAGAATGCCATACCGGGCATGCGTACTCCAAAACAGAACGTATCAGAGCATTATAGACACTAAGTAAATCCTTGGGTGGAAGGCCATTGCCACGCAGGACACGAAGGATATAAAGTCGCTGAGCAGCTTTCTTTGTAATGCTAAGAATGTGACTATGCCATTTTAGATCATCCTGAATGAGCACTCATAGGAGCTTGTGACTTTCTACTACTTCGATTGAGGTGTTATTAATAGTCAACAGTGATAGAGTGGGAGGGTTACATAGGAAGCATATTCTGAGTTCTTTGCACTTTTTTGGGTTCAATTTCATGTAATTTGAAGAACACCAGGTGGATATATCATCCAAGGTGGTTTGGATAGTTGATGAACCTTCTCAAGGTAGAACTTCAGCAATGGTTAGGTCATCAACGTACTTCCAGAATGAACTGGTTGGAGTAAGCTCATTCACCATAACTAAAAATAGTATCGGACCCAATTTAGTCCCTTGTGGGACCCCAGCGTTTACATACGACCAGTCAGAGAAGGAATCAATAATCTTGACTCGTTGTCTTCTATTGGATACAAAACTACAAATCCAAGGTAATAAAGACCTACGTACCCCTAAGTTAATAAGTTTGAGCATTAGGATGTTGAGATTTATCCTATCAAAGGCTTTAATGAAGTCCAGCATACAAATACACAAAGTGTTACCAGGGGTATCGAGGCTAGATAGCCAGTCGTGGAGCATATCCATGAGACACAGGGTTGTAGATGTGCCTTTCAAGCAACCAAACTGGCATGGATCAATTTTACTCTGGATATCTTCGAGGACCCAGCATGCGACGAATTCCTCTAATACTTTAGAGAGGCATGGCGTGAGTGAAATAGGCCAGAAGTCACTGAGGGATCTCGGTACAGACTCTTTGGGAACAGGTGTTATGTTTGCATCCTTCCAGATGTCTGGAACAATACCCCAAGCTAAACTTGAGTTAAACAGGTTTGCAACTGGGTCAGCAAACTTAAAAGCGAATTCTCTAAGGATATGTGCAGGGATGTTATCTGGCCCTGTAGCTTTAGATGGATTTAGCTTGAGCAGTTTTTGACACACTTGTGGTGGGCTGATGAACAGTGCTCTCTCAGAGCATAGTAAGTAGGCTGGGAGTTGGCATGGATCTAAAGCAGGAATGTCCTCATTTACAGAAAGGAAGAACTTATTCATTAACCAGCTCGTTAGGAGATTTAGTCACTCCATCGATAACAAAACTGTTAGTAGAGGTAGCTGATGAACAGGATCTACCAGAGACTTTGTTAATGTAGTTCCACCATTTTCGAGAGTCTGTTGTTTTCAGGTGTTGGATTTTCTCCGAGTAGAATTGTTTCTTTCTTTGTGTAATAGATGTTCGCACCTTGTCACGGTAAATACGCCATAAATGGAGATCACCACTATGATAGGCAGCTTGACGCTCTAATATTAGGTGTTTAACAGAAGCGGTCATCCACAGCTTGTCTGTGTGATGAAGTTTGACAGTTCGCTCCGGGAAGAAACACTCAATAACTTGAGAAATATTTGATGTGAATGTAGAGGCTGTTATAATGTTAGAAGAATCAGTAAGCCAAACCTGGGAGGTTAACCATCTTCCAAAGGTGTCAAGTCCTGAGCGTGGGAAGCGACATAGTCGACGTGTTGCTTTGGGTGGATGATTAGTAGGATGGTGGTGGTTGGGATGCCAAACAAGGGCAATGTGATCAGAGGCGCCAATAGGAGCCAAAACTGTCGGTTTACTATAGTAAGAATGCATGTTTATGATAATCAAGTCCAAAATTGCTGAACCCCTTGTTGGTTGGTCAACTAATTGAGTTAAGTTGTGGTTGTTGAGTAGATCTGACATATCCAGGTTGTTAAAATCACCAAACAATGCTATCCCACAGTCAGGATGTTCACTACGAACAGAGTCCAATGTTTCGATTAAATAGTTTGAGGCGTAACGTTGATCTTGGAATGTAAAAAACGCCCATGATAATGCCAGTAATTGATCTGGGAAGTTGATGTGGTCTAAGCCACAGCCAAAGACATTCAATATGTGGATTTTCCAAATCAGACCATCGCTCGCAGGGGATGCCCGACAATACAAAGGCGCAGACGCCACCACCACGACCACAGGATCAATCGTGGCGGTATAAAGTATAACCAGGGATAGAGATCAGGGTACTTTGTATATTTCCATGAAGCCAAGATTCACTTATTGCAGCGATCGAGATGTTTCATTGGGTCAACAGTGAGGCAAGTTCATTGGTTTTTGCTGGCAGAGACCTTACATTTGCTTGCAAAAAGCTTGGTAGTTGAGATTTGGTGGTAAGTTCTGTCGTATTTGTAGGCTTAATAAGATGAAGAGCTTAGACTATTCTTAGACTATTCTTACAATATTAAGTTGATTTTCAGGTTATTGCACACAACAGTCCTTTACTTTACTACCAAAATACCAAAATCTTTACAATCACATCCTTAAAACTTAACGTTTGGAACAATAATTGCTCTGCCAATCCTTTAAAAGTGATTCCTTAGGCACTTTAAAGCTGATGATGGCAGATTAATCATATTACACCCTCACCTTTGTATCCCACTGGCAAAGGTCTCCATTTTCATGGCCTGTGATAATGTATTGGTCTAATGGACCCCAGAGGGCGGCAGTTACTTTAGGCCCATCCACTGCTACACTAAGAACTGGGTCCCTGGAACCTTTTTGCAGAAAATGAATAAAAAAGAGTATCCATGTACGAACTTGCAATGGAAGTAGTTTTAATACTAACAATAATTGAGTGCAGGATGACATGCCATCACTGTAAACCCATATGTGCACTTAACACCTCACTAGAACTAACTTAGATTAATCCCAGGTGAAAATCTTATTAAGATCTCGTAAGATCTTACAAGAATCTTGTAAGATTCTTATTAAGATTAAGATCTTAATAAGATCTTGTTTAACTCTTAAGATCTTAAAAAATCTTGGTAAAAATCTTGTAAGATCTTAAGAGGATCTTACAAGATCTTATCCATAGAAATCAACATTCAACATTCTAAGATCTTACAAAATATCTTGTAAGATATTAAGAGAATCTTACAAGATCTTATCAGAAAAAAAATCAGTATCCAACTTGCTAAGATCTTAAAAGATCTTAATAAAAATCTTGTAAGATCTTAAAATAAATCTTACAAGATCTTGTCAAATTTAGTCAGTGTGTAGCATTTTAAGATCTTAAAAGATCTTGATAAAATCTTGTAAGATCTTAAAGAAATCTTACAAGATCTTGTCATCAAAAGTCAGTTTGCAGCATTCTATTGATACAAAAAAATTACAAGATCTCAGAAAATTATCAATTAAGGTATCAACACTCTAACATCTATTAAAAACAATGTTAAGACAATCTTACAAGATCTTGTCAAAAAAGTTAGCTTTTAATGATATTTCATGTAGGTAAATAGTAATACTAATAACAACAATCACTTTATTTGAGTCTTAAGGCTATTTATTTGAACATGAGTGTTCTACTACAAATCAACTTAAAGCAGAACAAATCAATTGAAATATTGTTTTTTTTTTATGCAAGGGGAAAACCGGAGTACGCGAGGAAATAAAACCTCTTGGTTAAAATAACTTTTTCATATAGATCTAGTGCATTTGAACTTCAATTTTAAAGGGAAACTCCTCCTTGACTCAAATGAACAATTTTAAATTGAACAAAATAATATTTGCAATCAATTTTCATTAAACTAGCTTTTGTTTCAGAAAAAAAAAAGAAGAATTTAGAACAACCTATTTTCACTTTCAAATTTCCCAGGTGCCACAATCTTGAATGATTGTGACGTGCTATGGTTGCAGCTATTGTTTTCACAAAAAGGGCATTTGTTTGAAACAATAGAGCAACTGTTGCCCATCACAGTTATTCAAGATGGCGGCATCTGGGAAATTTAAAAACCAAAACAAGCGTTTTTGAAATTCATTTATTCTGGGTCCTGATTCTTTCATTGCAAGAAAGTTTGAACAGTTCTGATTGTGAACAATATGTTCTGTAGTTTAAAGTTATTGTCCTGTTTTAGTGGAGGTTCCCTTCAGGTAAAGAGTGGTACATTAGATTTTTTGGAGCCTAACAATAATTTGTTGCAGCTTTTTTGAATTATGCATTTGAATTTAAGTCTCTTTCAAATAATATTTAATCTTACCTTCATACTTTTTAGTAAAATAAGTGGTAATTTTTTTTCCATTAATGAAAATTTGGAATACCATTATTATGTTGCAAAGAGGTGCATCACCCTTTAATTTTACTTGGGAACAATGTAGTAGTGTCCTTGTTTTCTGAGTTTCAAACTTGTATAAATAGTTCATTGCTTTGTAATAAAAATAGGATTTCTGTTTTAATAAAATATTGTTCTAAAATATTGCTCTTTCTATTTTGGTAACATTGTTTTTTAGCAGAATATGAGAAATATCTTGATGAGATCTGAGAAAGATCTTGGTAAGATCTCATATTATCAAGATCTTGTGAGAATCTTAGTAAGGTCTTGTAAGATCTTACAAGAATCTTGGTAAGATCCTGTAAGATTTTACAAAAATATTGGTGAGATCTTGTAAGATCTTACAAGAATCTTGGTAAGATCCTCTAAGATCTTACAAGAATCTTAGTAAGATCTTGGTAAGATCTGGTAAGATCTGGTAAGATCTTGGTAAGATCTTGGTAAGATCTGGTAAGATCTTGGTAAGATCTTGGAGCATTTTCCTAAGATCTTGTAAGATCTTGTACGAATCTTGTAAGAATCTTGTAAGAATCTTGTAAGAATCTTGTAAGAATCTTAATTAAGAAGTAAGATAAGATCTTAGTAAGAATCTTATTAAGAATCTTAGTAAGATCTTAATAAGATTTCCACCTGGGTTTTCAGCCTTGACTGGCTTACTGAGCCTCTATCATTCCTATACTTTTCACATGTTTCTCCCACCTTTATGACAAAGTGAACTTGTACCCAACAAGCCTTTACAATGCATTCAATAGCAAGAGATATCGGGGTTGTTCAAATTTCTTTATCATTCCTTTGTGCAATGTTCCTTTGTGCAATCTTTTGTTGACAAGTCTGTGGTTTCAGTTTTCTCTTATTCGATGCATGTTGAATGATCAATCATGAAATTTAGAAGGAAATATAGAATTTGATGGGAAAATGACATTGGGAGTCCTTGCTGGCAGTCACTCTAGTATACACACTTTTCCCAATACAAAGATCCTTTGCCCAAAAGAAAGTCATAAAATTAGTACACAGTCACAAACAAACCACAACACTAAATATGTAGTTGATACACCTTTCGAGGACATTCTGTAATTTGTCAAGCTAATATTGTACTCACCTTCTCTAATATCATACAACATAAGGATACAATCATGACCCATCTGTCTGTCTGTTGTCATCATTACCTTCTGACCACAATAGGAGAACCCACATGCCCTAACAGCAGTTTTTGTCTCATATTTGGATAATGTAGTGGCTGTTTCACAATCCCAAAATCTTAAGCTGTTATCTGCTGAACCTGAAATGAAATGTTTTGTTTCCCCTTTGGATAGCAAAATGAAGAGTTAAGGATTTGAATAACCTACCTGTACAGCAGAACCTGGCTAGCTAAAACTCCCATTGGAAACAAAAAGTGGTGCAAGTTAGTGAGGATTTGAGTTATCAGGATGGGTGTTGAGTTTAAATCATCCTGTTGTTGATTAATAAGGAATTAAGTTTTTACCATTACTGCACATGCAAAAGTAATTTGGTACATTTTGTAACCCTTTTCCAAGAATATTATGTTTGGGAAATTTAACTGAGTGCATTACGTTTTAAAAAGTGTTATCACCTATATGAATCAATTGCGATCAAAAAATGGGATCTGTCAGTCACTTATTTCCTGACCCTTTGATGTTTATCAACCAATGTTTTAACTCGAAGTTTGAGTTATCAGGGTAAATTTGAGTTAGGGGAGAGTAAAATTGATCCAAGTTCACAGGGAGTTTGAGTTAATTTTTAGCTGATTTTAAATAAATAAAAATATTGGGTCAGTTAGCAGAGGATTCGAGTTGACCATGCTTTACTGAAAAATGTGCACACTTAAGTGTTGGTTTTGCAAGTGACTCAAAGAGGGACATTTTCAATATTCCCATTAGTGAGGATCCTGACAAACATGTAATTTCCAGCTTCTGCTCAGTTTGTCCAGGCAGTCAATGGAGAAAAGCAAGTGACAGCTTCTTCAAGTTCATGGATGCTGACATAAAACCCCTTCCTACAGGAACAGGAAAGTACTAGTCAGCGCAAAGAAGAAAACATTATACAAATTAAAATTATTCATGGAGATTATGTATTTATTATCCAAAATGTATTTTCCAAGGATACAATCAACATCAATGCACCAAACAGCACCGCCATGACCATTGTATGTGCCAAGTCTTTCACCATTTAATGAGTACCAGACGTTTGGTTTTGTGTCTTTTGCTGAGGAAAACAGCAAGTCACCATCCCTATTGTATTTGATTTGAGTGATGGAACGTTCATGCCCATGTAACATTAATGGTTTCTGTAAAGAAATATTACACAGTTTAACACAAAAAGATAAGATGGCAAAAATACCCTCAAAGAGCTGTAGTAATGAAAGATGAGTGCTATACTTTAATTATTGTGCTATGCTTTAATTATTGTTTTTATATCTAAGAGAGATTTTACGTAATTGAGAATTTTGAGGCTGATTGTCTTGTATCATTTTGATACTAATTATCCCGAGAGGTCTCCAATAAAAAATAAGTATAGGATTGTTTGCAACATTTGTCTATCACAAATTCAAACAATCAAGTTTAAGTCTGAATTACAAAGATTACAGGACTTCAGTCACTGCTCTTGATACCATACAGTGCTTTACAATATACATAAGCATGTACTTTAACCTTCTTCTGTTCAGCATAAGCAGGTTAGCCCTCTTTTGGAGAGAGGTTCCCTCCATCCATACTACACTCAGTGCTTGCTTCTGTAGTCTTTCTAATGCTTTACTTTTTGGAAGTATGCCAAATGTGGGAAGATTTTTGTAAAATAGAGCGAATTTTGTGGGTATAGGCACTGGTTTACTAAGAGAATATCAGTACATTGCTTGCAGCAGCCTTGGGCTAGATGAAACGAATCATGTGTTCTGATTGGCCATGTGGGTGGGCAAGGTAGACCCATCTTGCCAGCTCGCGATTACTCACACTGATCCCACGTATGAAAAAATAGAGTTAGAATTACATTTGTAATTCTTGGACAATTTCGGCGATAGAAATGCAAGAGGCGACAGAACATTGTCAAAACAAAGAAAACAGAAACAACTCTCGTGAGTTTGTTGTGCTACAAACACATTTGGCTTTCTTTCCAAGCTCTTGAAGGAAACAAAAATTGCCAAAGAAGAACTCGGCCAATATCCAGCCGTTTTGACCTCAAGCTTGGTTAATAAAAAACATACATAAACCGAATTGCTGACCAAGTTTCTCAGACATTCGAGTATGCTACACCTTGACTTTTCCGTTTATTTTAGAAGACGGTGAAAGCTTAAAAATATATAAAAAGAATACACGCATTGTTATGGTACAGTTCTACAGTATATCGAATCGACTGGAGAATCAAGAAAAATATATCTTGTTACACTTACTCTTAAACATGTTACTCTTAAACACGTTACTCTTAAACACTTACTCTTAAACACGAACAAAAGATACAAACTTTTCATACAATGTGTATGATCAGTTTTTCATACAATGTGTATGATCAGTCATACAATGTGACTAAAAAAAAAGTAAGTCACGTCGATCTATTGAGAAAAAATCATTACTTACCATCTTATGGTACTTGAATTTCAATGGTAATTGCCTCACTGTGACTGAAATCTCGTTTAAAGCTACCTTACTGAAGAACTTTGGAAGCGATCGAAGCGATCACGTTCATCGATGATTCAAACTCGAGCCCAGGGTCATTTTTGCCTGCTTGTCAGCGATATGGGGTCAACAGCGGTAGTTATGTCTTTTATGGGAGCCTATAATGTCCTCATTACATATTTTATCTAACAACGATCTCTGCTTATATCACAGGCAGCCCAGGCTCTGTCACAGGCTCTGTCACAGGCTCTATCACAGGCTCTTTCACAGTGGATTATTATAGAGTTTGTAAAGTGGTTTAGTTGGACTTGCTTTTGAGCTCCGTAAATATAAAATTGTGTGAAGTAATCAAAGAAAGAAAGTCTTACCTTCATAAAGAGTAGTCTGTGCTGTTCTTGTCGCGATTTGAAGCTGTTTTGCTGTGTTTCAGCTTAACTTCCCAGCACTACTAGGACTTTAGGCTGAAACATAGCAAAACGGCCTCAAATCGCGACAAGAACAGCACAGACTACTCTTTATGAAGGTAAGACTTTATTTCTTTGATTATTTCACACAACTTTATATTTACGGAGCTCAAAAGCGAGTCCAATTAAACCACTATACAAACTCTACAATAATCCACTGTGAAACAGCCTGTGACAGAGCCTGTGACAGAGCCTGGGCCACCTGTGCTTATATTATGTCATTTGCGTTTTTATGGACCGAAATGAAGTCGAGGTCCACAAAAACGCGAATTGAGAATAAGGCTAACATACATGCGTTATTGACCAAGCCTGAGGTCAAGATGGCTGTCAGACGAGTTCTTTTTTTGCGTTCTTCTCATAAAAACGCAAAATAGAAAGAGGTTAAAATCCAGCCATCTTGACCGAACAAGCTTGGTCAATGAAGGATTTATTATATTACAAAAAATAATGATTTTAATTATGATACTGATTAAGCATGAGGAAATTCACGCCCATAATACAAGAAATAAATCTATGTTTTCTCTCCCTACAGTAAAAACTAACTGGGGGAAATCTAAAGTCGGCTTATATGTTTTTTCATGAATGGAACTGTTCAAATGGATCATTGAAGACATCGGTAAATTATAGGATTTTTAAGAAACAATATTCTAATACGTATGATGCACGATCCTCGCAGTAGAGAGCGCTATTTATGCAATAGTGAAAATCAGACCTGAAAAAAAAATTTCAGGCTTGTACGGAATTCGAACCACTGACCTCTGCGATAGTAGTGCAGCGCTCTACCAATTGAGCTAACAAGCCAAAAACTGGAAGCAGGCCTTTAAGTTGATTCGTAATAAACCCGTGATGATAAATCAGATACAATGAATATATGAAGTTCATTAGCGCTCTCTACCTCGAGGATCGTGCCTCATACGTATCCAATACCGCAGTTCAAAATATTGTATCTGATTTATCATCACGGGTTTATTCCGAATCAACTTAACGGCCTGCTCACAGTTGGCTTGTTAGCTCAATTGGTAGAGCGCTGCACTAGTATCGCAGAGGTCAGTGGTTCAAATCCCGTACAGGCCTGATTTTCGCTATTGCATAAATAGCGCTCTCTACTGCGAGGATCGTGCATCATACGTATCTAATACCGCAGTTCAAAATATATGAACTTCATACATTCATTGTATCCAATATTTTAATATAATATATAACCTTCTCTTCTTTTTTCCATTAATATAATATTCAGTTTTCATTAATTTATTTCATCTATCTTAATTCTATTCTTTTAATGTCAGTTAGTTCTTGTGCTTCGAATATTTTACAATTATTGTTGTAATTAACTCAATTTTATATGGAGGTCCCTCATGAAAACCACCCAAAGGGTGATGTGGTTTCCTCCATAAATAAAGTTTCACTTCACTTCACTTCACTTGCGCCGGATCAAAGCAGGCAATCCCAACTGGGCAGGATGGGCCTTTTTTCCCGCTCGGGTAGCCGATCATAACACAGGACTCGGTTCATATTGCCCATGGGGCGCTGACAGCCTTATAATAAACAGCCATATAGCACTATACTTAGTTTGCATACAGGGCTATACGCAGCCATACAGGGCTATACAGCGCACTACAGGGCTTTACAGAGCTTTACTGAGCTGTACAGGTGAGGGCTATATGAGGAAAGGGGGTAAGTTTCTAAAGAAACTGTGGTGCAGCATTTAGGTAGTTTGGAAAACCGCAAAACATCTTGAACAAAAGCTAATCTTTCAAATCGGCACTCCTAAGCCTGGTTCACATATATTTACCAGTTTAAGTCCTCACTCTCAACAGAGTATTGCAGTATCGCAAACAATCGCAGGTGATCGCACGATCGCTGAAACACTCAACCAAAAGATCGTGAATCACATGTTCACATATGATCGCAGCCGATTGCAGCGATAAGTAGAGAGATTTAGCACGACATTTACTTGAAACGGCAAACATCAGCTTGCCCTTTCACGTTTCACGTAAAATAGAGTGAACATTGCTGCTTTAGCTTCGCGTGAGCTCACGTCATGGTGGATTTGAAGACGCCCTTGTATGACTTACAATCGTGCCCTTTTTTTGGCAATTAACTTGTAATCTGTGAGAGAAAAAGTGTAGAAAATCTGGCAAATATGGCAATTAACTTGTAATCTGTGAGAGAAAAAGTGTAGAAAATCTTACGTACACGGCAAACTTGAGACACGTTACTTTCATGTAGTCAAGCAAAGCGCAACCGGCAAACGTGATAAAATGGCGGGAAAAACAAGATTACGTGGTCACTCTTGCCGTTCACGTTTCACGTAGACGCAGTGTTAAATATATCTCTCTAGTGACAACCGAGTTCGCGACGGCTGGGGAAATGCTGAAAACTTCGCCTACTTTGTAGTCTCCTTCGCAGCCGTTGTTTGGGTTCGTCAGGCAACGCTCCCTCCCCCACCGCATAGCGTTGCGTGACGAGCCCAAACAACGGCTGCGAAGGAGACTACCTACTTTGGACCAGGCATTAATCTTCTTGAACTTGTCTTTGAATTCTTTGCTAAAGCGATTGAACAAACAATCGTATTTTCTTCCATAAACTGCTCCGTGTCAATTTCACCTTCCAAACACACGCACGTACGTGTAAAAGTTGATAAACCACAGGGTACCCAGACAAGCGGCGAGTCTGGTTGTTTATTCGAAATATAAAGGAATGTATGGGAAAATATTGAAGAGTCCTATCATCGTAAACTTATATCATGAAATGTCTGAGTTAAAGCTCAAAATAAATGTAAACACTTGCTGTGTATTGTCGTTTCTGTAGCTCTAAATGGCGAATTTGAGCGATTTGTTGGGTTTTGCGTAACAGTCGACGCAAAGCCCACCAAATCGCTCAAATTCGCCATTTCGAGCCACAGAAACGACAATACACAGCAAGTGAGGTAGGTTTACATTTAGTTTGAGCTTTAACTCAGACATTTCATGATATAAGTTTACGATAGTAAGACTCTTCAATATTCTCCCATACATTCCTTTGTATTTCGAATAAACACCCAGACTCATCGCTTGTCTGGGCTCCCTGCGGATTAGTCTGGGAACAGGCTCCAAGCCGGGAGCCTGTCGCAGGCTACCTGCGGATAAACAACTCACAACTGGCTGTCATGATCATGGTATCATGCCGCTTGCAGCGCCGCACGCTGGGAAAACATAGCATTATGGGACACATTCCAATCGCATGATCACAGAACTTTGTTCACATAAAATTATGATCGCACTCGATCGGCGATGGAAACGTAAAAAGAACGGCAGGAGATAGTCAAAACATAGAAAAAAGAAACGACTCTCGTGAGTTTGTTATGCTTTAAACACATTTGGCTCTCTTTCCCAGCTCTCGAAGAAAAAAGTCATTCTTAATCCTTGATAAAGCGAAATCCTTTTGCAACATAATAAATCATTTATTAACTACGCTTGTTCGGTTAAGATGGCTGAATATTAGCCTCTTTTTTTCACATTTCTATGGACCTCGACTTCGTCTCGGTCTATAAAAATGCAAAAAAGAAAAAAAAAAACTCGGCCAATAGCCAGTCATCTTAACCTCACGCTTGGCTAATAACGCATATATACAAGGCAAAACAACACAATGTAGGGCTAAAGAGAGGTTTACGGAGTTATACAGGGGTATACGAGCTCTGCAGGGCTATACAGGGCTATACACAGCTATACAACAAATATCAACAAAATTCTTTTATTTTGGCAATCAGAATACATATCTAACAATCCCTGCCCGAAGCTAATCTGCCAAGTGTTGCTTTAACTGACTTAAAGTTTAGAAAATCCCCGTTGTTACATCAGCCACGACCGAAATAATTAACAGAGATTTAACGACCGTGGGAGACCTGGTAATGAAGAAACATGTCTTCTGTTGCAGTTGTTGGTGCCGGAGTCATTGGTCTCTCTTCAGCTGTTTCTATCCTAGAGAGAGATCCTACTATCAAAGTTACGCTTATAGCAGATAAGTTCTCCCCCTATACGACCAGCGATGGCGCGGCTGGGCTTATCATGCCCTTTGTGATGGGCTGTACACCCGTACACTTGCAAAGGTATCCCGCTCTGCTGCATTATTTATTGGCTAGTTTCTACATGTCTGGCAGTCGGACAATTTTTAAAAGTTGACGAATTTTTAAAGCTCGTTCATACCGTAAAATCGCTATTTTTTAGACACTTAAAAAAACATTTGTTACCCAGTGATTATATGGTATGCACATGCAAGCTCGCAAATTTCGTCCACTAAAAAGCATCGAGGGTTTTTTTAATCGTTTGGTATTTTCTAAGCAAACATCAAGCACTTTCACAACGTTTGCATGAGGTACTCCGTAGCAATTCGTTGATATTTCTGATAGCGGACACGATCTATAAGCATTTTTCTGAAAAAAAACCTTCCCAACAGTTGCTGCCCGAGCAGCTTAACAATAGTCTTAAAACAATCAAAAAGCAACCCCTGTCCCATTAAAATGTGAAATTAATAAAACTTTGATGAGACTGACATTTTTTACTTCAAAGTTGGGGTCCCAATTCCCAGAGGATGTGGTATGAGATTTCCAGACAATGCTTAAAATTATTACAACAAAAAGTGGTTGCCTAACTCGAAGTTATACTTTATCATCTATACTTTATCATCACATCCTTCCCTTCCCCACTGCCACAGCTTTCCTATCTGATGACTGCCGACTCTTTAGGGGAAGTCAGCAAGGAGATTCTCACCCAAAGAAATCACTTATCTCCAGCTTTTTTCCAAAAAGTGGCACAAGCAGAGGTTTCCCATCGAGGTTCCTACATATTGAAATTACTGGCTGTCATTAGAAACCAGAATTTTGGTAATTGTTGTCATAGTCATGAGTTATCGTATTTTCTTTTCAAAAAGTGGGTTATTTGCACCCCTAGGAACTCTTCCCTTCATCAAAACATAGTGAAATTAACAGGTCAGAAGTCAAACAATTGGCAAAGGCCTAACAAATGAACATGGGTTTCTACCTTCTTACAGGGAGAGAGTCAATCTTTCAGATGTATCTTCCTAAATGTAATTTTTTTAACATTCAGAAAGTGGTTTGATGAAACTATGAAAAAATTACAAGAGCTAATGAAGAGGAAGGATGCTGGCCAAAGTTTGGGAATCTATAAGTTGAGTCTTGTCTATCTCTCTGATGACGAAAATGAAGAGGTATATTTCTTAATGTAGATGAGTTTATATTGTACACTAGTTGTGCAGTCAGTCTTTCAAGTTAAATATCATGGAATATCCATGATATTTAACCATATCCATGATTTTTAATAATTTTGCTATACACCCGAGCCTTCAGGCTAGCATGCATACCAAGGAAATGCAATTGACGAGGGGAACATTGCATGATATACAACTCAAAAGAGTTGCACAACTGTGTTTTTCTGTGCCATAGAAAATGCAGTAGGCATCACTTTCAATCAAAGAGTATTCATAGTGGTGTTACATCAAATGCCACCTGAGTTTCTGAAACTTGTCAGGAATTAGGCTCCTACTGCTCTCTGTCCACTTTTTCAATCTTCAGAATGAAACATCCAATTGTGTGGGTCAGAGGAATTTTGGTCAACTGTCTTTCTTGTACTTGACAAACTTGGTGACAACTGAATTCATTTCTTTTCTGTTCTTGGGTTTCTTTGTTCTTTGAAAAAACTATCAACCTCCTCAACAGTCAGCTGTATCATTTTGCTGAAATTTTAATTTTCTGCTGAGTTCCCAATGGAAAATTGAAGTTGAGGAAATCATTTGGCCCTGACATTGTTCAAAGAGCTCTTGAAATAAACTGGAAAAAGCACCTCTTGTTGAATTTATTAGATTGCAGCACGTATTGACTGTTTGGCTGTATATCCTATGGCATGGTATAAATAAATGTACATGTATTATCAGTACAGATCTCATGTTTAACATGTTTACAGCACAAGTGCTTAGTTTGTCAGATAAGCATAAATTACAGCTGCAAGGGCTTTCTTTGTAGGTATATTCCCAGATGTGCATCGAAAGAGCCTTATCGTGTTGATGGTTTAGATTGTTAAAGGAGAGCTAGTAAAGATTGAATATTGTTCAAATGCCTTTTCTGTTGTGCTGATGTAGATGCTTTGACTGCATCAAAAAGAACAAGTTATTTGCATTCAATCACAGAAAATGCAACTTCAACTGATACTAAATTTGAAATCTTAACATTTAATTCTCCTTGCCTAGAAAAAAAGGGAACTTTAATGTGACAATTACTTAGTTAGTGAACCTCAAGTTACAAATCTCTGTCTTAAAAGTTTATATTTAGTTTTGCTCTGGATATCCATGAATGTTGCACTTTAAGGATAATCGAAACAACCTACCTACCATACTTTCAAGCTGGTCTAAGTCTTGTGGTGTCTAATGCATGCATATGTTACCTTAAAAAATGAATTGTCCAAGGACTATCAAATACTTTAGTTCATCTTCTTCTTTGCTGTGTTTTTAGGAAGGAGTTGGGGCATTTATTCCCACTTAGCAGCTAATAACCAAGCCTGCTCAATCAATAATTAGTACAGAATTAACTTGATACTGTGACTTTTGACCTGTGACTTCAGAATCTCAAGCATCCACTTTTACTAGGAAATTTATTAGGAATTCTTAAATTTTGTCCAATGCACTGTGTTTTAAGGTTAACAAGACATTAACATGCAACGTGTTGATTGTTAGGAACACTCACTCTGGTTTTCCTTAGAAAAGGACAAATTTAATGCTGACTCTTCAAAGTACAGGAATGAACTTAAAAATGAAGACAGACAAGAATAATGTCAACAACAGGGGATATTATTTGTGTGGAAGGGGTCTAACTTCAGTGAAAAGCACAAGCACATGGCCTATTTCTATATCTGACTATCACAACACTTGAGCAAATTCTCAACGTAGTCTGCCACAAGCATCCTACTTAACTGAAACTGAGTGCCACAGGAAATTCATTTTGTAGAAGACAGTTCTACTTGTAGAGCCACTTACCCATTATTAATCAAAGGCAAAGTTTTAAAATGATTGGATTCAGCATTTTTTTTATGAATGTTCAATAGTGTAGTACAATTAGATAAACTGTCAGATGGCTTGCCTGAAGATGAACTGAAATAGGATGATCATAGCAATAATATTTTAGCAAATTAGCTACAGCCTTTCAGGAAATCTAGCTGATTGCTTTTTACAATTAGTGGAGAGATGCAAGTTATGTTTATTTATTTAATCACTTTCACCAGAGTGTGGTGAGGGTTGCACAACAGAGCGAGGCTCCCAATTAAGTGTGCCCAATATCCCACTCATCCCACCCAGGGGAGGACATTCATCACACAGTAATTTTGTGTGTGGGAAATTAATGTCTCCTACCCCAACCCTGCAAGAGATGGGACCTCCATTTATTCGTCCCTATCCGAGAAGACTAGAATATCTAACCATTTCTTGATGTTATAGAAAGGTAGCAAATTCTTCTCAATTATTTTAAGACCCTGAGTGTTGGTGTGGCCAGGACTTGAACCCTCGACCTACTGCACAACAGTCCAGCGCTCTATCCATTGAGCTAACTGGGAGGCGGTTAGCTCAGTGTTAAGTTCTTAACCTTTTAATACCATAGCAGAGGCATGATAAATCCATTTCATGAATATTTCTTAAGATATTAAGACTTAGTAAAAAAGAGCAAATGTATGGCTGTAATCAAGCACATGAATCCTGTATGATTTCGGAAGTCACTTGGCTTTCTTTCATTGCATTAAGATCTGTAGTAGTAAACTTAAATCAATTTTAGACCAAATTGCTCCAATCAGATACTCTTTTAAATTCTCTGATTGGTGGAATGCTTATAGTCATGATGAATAATATAACTGGTTGTTATCAAATTGGTTTTCCAAGCATTTACTATGGAAAGTGTCCTTTTCAACTGAATTCATTATGAAAAGTTTGTGCTGATTGGGAAATTTGGCTTTCCCTTCGAACCAACAGGAACCCCACTGGAAAGATCTTGTTGATGGTTATCATGTTCTTACTCAGAAAGAACTTCAGAAGTTTCCACAGTCATCCAAGTCAGTAAGGTTTCTTGTTAATCGTATTATATTTTTCATGAGGTGAATGACTTAATTGTAAACTGTGTGCAGGGCGAGAGAGCAGGGACCTCAAGCAAACCCTAATGGTGACGTCTACGAGGACATTACAAAACAATAGCTTAGCATGGGCATCATAAAACTTCATAACATTTATGAACATATTATACATCGTCTGATTTGTTAGTTCCGTTTCCAAGCGGATGCTTTATCAAGTTATAGAGCTGGCATGTAACTAGTTATGTCATAAAAGCAGGAAGCTCGTAAATAGGGGAAAGCTTAGAGCTTTTCTCGTGTTCTCCCAACATCTCATAGAGCCCGCAAAAATGTGTTCAACGGCTAAATTGTGCATTTCTTAGCTGTTCTCTGCAGAACAACAACGTGAAATCACCAAAATGTGCGTGATCTGACAATGGAAACTCGACGGCAAATTATATAAGTTTCCATTTGGAACTCAGTGCTGCTCACACACGTCATGCCGAAGTTTGAGGTGTGGCGCCGTTAGAGATGGTGAACACATCCAGCCATTTGCGAAATTCTAACTAAACCTTTTGTTGTTCATTACGAGAAAATACGCATTCATTTGCGTTAAAAGGCGAACAATTGTGTGAAATACAATCATAAATGACAAAAAACCGTCATTTGCGCGTAAACAAGATTCAATAACGATTTTTGCATTTTAATCAGCATTCAATAACAATTTTGGGTATTCTTATGTGTCATTCGTCAAACAAAAGAGAAAAATACACTCTCAATTGCGCTAACGTTCAAGTCATTTACACCATCTTGAAAGTCAATAGAGACAATAAACAAACAATATAGTACATCAACAAACATATGAAACATATGTGTGAACTGCGGTTATGAGACGTATATGAGAACGATCCTTCGCAGTAAAGCACTATTTGACTATTGCTCAAAATAGTGCAGTAAAGCACTATTTCACTATTGCTCAAATAGTACTTTACTGCGAAGGATCGTTCTCATATACGTCTCATAACCGCAGTTCACACATATGTTTCATATGTTTGTTGTTGTTTGATTTATCATCTACGGGTTTATATCGAATTAATTTGATGGCCTGCTCCCAGTTGGCTTGTTAGCTCAATTGGTAGAGCGCTGCACTAGTATCGCAGAGGTCAGTGGTTCGAATCCCGTACAGGCCTGAAATTTTTTTCAGGTCTGATTTTCACTATTGCTCAAATAGTGCTTTACTGCGAAGGATCGTTCTCATATACGAAATATAGTACATATAGCATTCATTCACATTTTTATCACACTGTTTGCAATTCAATTGCATTCCTAGACAGCATTAGTATGAATAAGACAATCATTTATGCGCTTCTACTAACTATGGCTTGTACAAACAATTGAGGGTTTTTTGTTTTCAATATTCACACATCGAATTTCAATTGAAAAATACCTGTTCTAAAATCGTTTTGTTTTGAATTTCAGTTTACCCTTCAATAATCTCCCTATTCAAACATTTTGGCAGATAGGTCTGCATAAAGTGGTTCCACTGCGCACTTTTAGCCGCAGTCACAGTGTCGATGTTTCTGTGCAGAGCTTCGAGCAGTTGCTGTGTTCGAAACTCCTTCGCTGGGATTTCCCTGGCTCTGGCCTCATCTCCGTTATCCATGCGTTTTTGAATTTCCGGATGCAAGATGTCAGCTTGATGCCGCTTTCAAACAGCTTATTGCCTGCTCCACGATGTTTAGGAAACGACTGTAGGGAGGAAGCATTTTAAGCTCCGTGTTTGGGGCGGGAATGACCGGGTTTCGATGGGCCGGTGCACCGTCATACACAAAAATCACCTCCTCATCGGGATCTAGATTTGTCCTCGTCTGTGCCAAGAAGCTATCAAAACACGCAGCATTCATTCCGCATAGTCCATTGATAGGCGGAATTGCCATGGTCACGGTCAAGTTTCGTCCACGCCGGCCGCACACTTGACGGTACGCCCTCTCTACCAGTCGCGCTCTACCGTGCCTTCTGGCCGTCCAGATGTTGTAGCCGCATTCGACGACAAACACACAGTGGCGCATTACGGCATGGATCCTAAACCAAGTGGTGTAATCGACTCGCTTGTTCAGCAGATCAAGTCTGTTTCTGTCATCAGTAAGGGGCCTCGCAAGTTTCACGGTGCGGTCATGGATCTCGGGTTTGAATGGTAGTTTATCTGAGCAAGGGTGAGTAAACAGTTTTCGTTGATGCCACAGTGTCTCTTGCCGTTGATCGGTTCACTCCGAGCGAGTCCGCGACCACAAGATAATCTTCCTCCCCGTCCTCAAATCCTCTCACGATTCTCTCTCTGTGTTTGATTCGCGCTTTCGTTTTGAAGCGTTACTATAGCTTTGAAGGTTACAGATGTATGGTGTGACCCGTTTATTTTCGTACTAGTTGCCAGAGAAAGCAAGTCAAACTAAAAAACATACAGATTTTTTTAAATGTAGAATAACATTTGAGAGTTCAACGAAATGTAACTTACAATTCGTAGGGCATTCCATACATCTTATAGATCTTTACGTTATCTCTGGCTGACCGTTATTTTCGATATTGGATTCGTCGCGTCTTTAAGTAAAAAGAGGGGTTGGTCCCCAGACTCCCTGGGACAACGCTCTGGCGCCAAAACTATTAAACACTAAGTGCAAATCAGTGTTAGAGTAGTATTCGGTTTCTTCGAAGCGAATTAACCGGACGAACTCTACTGAATGTAAATTCATTTGAAAATCGCTACTTACATATTGAATATGAAAGACGCTGAATTGGGAAAGAGTACCATATAACCCCATACATTAATTATGCATTCAATTCATTAATTATGTATGCGCCCCATTGTTTTTAAGACAATGCCTTATTCCCATGGGTTTAGCATATATACATTACTAATAAGTACTTACTGCTTCAATAAGAGAGAAATTGATTGAAAGCGGCTTTTTCGTCTCCATCCCTTTCTCACGTTCTTCTCCCTTCTCCCCTTTGTTCCTAACTTCTCAGTCCTCGGTTTTTTTTTTTTTTTCTTTCCTTTTTACCTTCTTGGCAGTTCTGCTGAGCCTTGAACCATCGCTCCTCAGACAACGCGTTATAATCAGACCATTATCAAAACCATAGCCTTACCACTATGCTACGCAAACCAGTTAGGAGTTCCTCTCCAAAAGCTACTTTTTCTTTTACCTTTCAGTAAAAAAATTTTCATAACAATATGTGCATTGATATAATGCACCAAAGGGCCCCTTTGCACTAAAGAATGCATTTCTTCTTCTCTACGATTGGCCAAATACCACACAGAAAACAAAATTTATTCATACCTCTTTCTAATAACATCAACGAAAGAAGAAGATAGAAGGAAGAAGAACAACAACTCGGAGATGGAGAGACTGAGTTTATTCGACTTTCTCGAATATTATCGGATCACGACCGGTACATACAGTGGTGTAAGGATCACAACCTGCTTGCAACGTCGGTAAAATGTCCTCGAGCTGGGTGCAGCAATGAACTCAGCTGGACGCGACGTGCTTCATCGCGAGACGGGTACGAGTGGCGATGTTCAAAAAGGGGTTGCGACGGAATGGCTTCAATGCGCCGGAATTCACCGGTGCGCGCACACAGGGCATCGATACATGGTGGGGAATCAAGCGAGGTTTGCCCCAAACAGGAACATCCAAAGGACTTTTCGATGGCTACCTACAAGAATATATGTGGCATCAGCACTACGGAAACGATCCCTTTGGAAACATTATCGAACATAATCGCCCAACTTTATGAAGTCCAGAAAGACTAGATACAAAGGTTTCTTTGCATCGCTGTATGCACCGGCCTTCACGAACAATTTTCATCACTAGGACACGAAAGGATAATGAAAGAATCAACCAAAACCACAAGAACAGGTAAGACACAACATTTATTTAAACTTTACATTGACAAACTTCAAAGCCTGACCGTAGACTTGACGTTATTTTCCGGCCAATTTTACGCTTTCAAAGCGAAACTGAACATTAAATTATTTTTCAAAATTAAAAACCTCTGGCAAATGCCTTAAATTTCTCGTTTTGCAAAGCCAAAACGCGCCGAATTTACCCTCTTTCAAAAAAGACTTAGAAAAAAAATCCAAATTTTGAAAACAAAGACCACTAGTCTCTGCGGAGTTCTATAGTTATCGCTATTGTTTTAATTGAACAAAGACTGAATGCATAATTAATGTATGGGGTTATATGGTACCCTTGCCCTGAATTGTTTGTACAAGTGCATTAATAATTGTCTTATTCAGACTTATGCCGTCCAGTAATGCTTGTAGTCACGGCGCCTCACCTTCGTTTTGCATTCACGTCCTTTGTACATTGTTTTCCGTTTTCAGTTGTTCCTTGTATATTTGTTATTTTATTAGGTTTGCCAGTCATTTTGGTTACGTCACATTTCACATTTTAGTGTTAATTTTTTAGGCATTGTTTCTATTGTTTGGAATAGCTTTTTCTGCCGTAGTTTTCTTGTCGCCGTTGTCATTATGTTTTAGTCGTCGTAGTCGCCACATAATCTTGTAACTTTCGTTATTTTGTCCGTCATTTTTCCTGTTATTTGAATTTCGTTCTGCTTTCCTCTTCTGTATATTTAACTCGTTTATGTACATTTGCCTTTAGCGAATCGCTAGTAAAAGTGCGAATCTCGTTTGGTTGTGGATTTCGACTACAATGCTATTGAATTGCAAACAGTGTGATAATAATGTCAATGAATGGTTCATGCACTCAGAGTTAATAGAGGATGCACTACATTGTGTATTGTCTCTATCGACTTTCAAGAAGGTGTAAATGACTTGAACGTTTAATGAAAGTATTTTTTCTCTTTTGTTTGACGAATGACGCATAAGAATGCCCATAATTGCCATTGAATGCTGATTAAAATGCAAAAATCGTTATTGAATCTTGTTTACGCGCAAATGACGGTTTTTTGTCTCTAATGATTGTATTTTCACACAATTGTTCGCCTTTTAACGCAAATGAATGCGTTTTTTCTCGTAATGAACGGTAAAAGGTGTAAAAGTATGATTAATTTTTTTATTCAACTTCCGCAGCATTTTCGTCCTAACTGCTTAAGGTCCCTTCTATTGATTAAACACGACTGCTATTATCACTTATTGTAATTTCATTTGTTAATTGCACAAAATGGGGAATGTATAAGAACGATTTCAGCTATTTTATGAGCTCTTATAGTTATTGTTATTTTTTCCTTTCAATCAACAGATTTGGTTTCTCCTGTAGAATAATGTTTTTGAATGGAAGGCATTACGATCCATGGCTTCTAGAAAGGTGACATCCTTTTTGTTTTAGCAAATGTTTTAGTATCTCCTCAGTTTATCGAAAGTTTTTACTTGAATGGAACTACATAGACGTCTTTTAAATCAGGAAGAGTGAAACCTAAAGGCAGTCACTCTTGTATAGTTGCCACAGCCATAGCTTTTTGAAATTCCTTGACTTTTCCCTGACAAATGTAGAATTTCCCTGACTAACAACGAGTCCTGAAAGTGGCATCCAACCTCCTCAACACAACTACCTTCTCTATCAAGCTTTCAGTGAGACACATTACGTGTACGTCAATTGATGGATCCTTGACGGAATATAGAAAAATAATTCTTTGTCTTGGAAATTCAGCATCAGTTGCGTTTCAATTTCATTCAACAGTATTTTACCAAACCAACACGTTTCGTGTTGGGAAATGTACCATAGATATTGAAATTTGAGAGAATATTAATGATGGGAGAAATTTCATTCACAAACCAAGTTGAACTTTCTTTACGAGAGGAAACTATGAACTGTCATCAAGAAAAGAGCCCGGACAATATTTTCTTGAGATTATACTTTTCCCTGACTTGTTTCAAAGAAGTAAATTTTTCCTGTGACTCAAAGTGAAATTCCCTAACTTTTCCCCTGACTATAAAGAAAGTTTTTCACCAGACGTTTGGTAACCATGCCTTGGGAAATGGCCAGATGTCAGGTTAACAGAGACTGAACAAAATTTTGAAAAAAATGTGGCAAAAAGTGATCGAAAAAGCAAAGTTGATGACACCTTCTGCATCCTATTGCTAACAACAACACTGTATAAACTACACCACATAAAAGATCTAACGTTCTTGCCAAGCCAACAGAGGGTATGAAGGCGAACAACTTTCTTATCATCAGCGGGAAATTAAACAGCTTTGAGGGTCTGGAATCTAAGCCTCGGCAGCTTCCCCAACGTTCTACGCAGGTCGTGTATAGTGCTTTCATTTTTTAGTCGAAAATTTCCCACCAAGTGCTAAAAATATATGAAGTTTTGTAACAGTAGGGATTTTGATGTTGATTAATCAAAGGCTGCCAACATAACGAGCAACTGCCTCATTGCTAAGAAAATTACGCTTTAAACGGTATACTGTTGAGCGTGCGACCCCCGGGTGATGGACAAATTTCTGACCCCCAGTCCATGGATTGCCCCGATAGACTACCCAAATGGACTACTCCGAGAAGGACTATTACTATTTGAGTCTTTTATTTTCGTTAGCCACGATAAAAACTACGAAATTTAGGCAATTGTTTAAAAAATGAAAAGTGCTTTCTTCGAAAAATAAGTCGAAGTCATGTGACTTTGCTCCATATCGGTCATGAAGTAAGGCGAAAAATTGATGGTATTCATTGTTTCGTACTTCAGAATATAGATTGACGCCGATATTTGCCATGTACATCAGAGATTCTTGACAGTCAGCCGTTTAATAAGATCTAGGATACAAAATTTATTTTTCCCCAATGTAATCAAATCACGAATTGATTCTACCGTCTGACTATATTTCTGACTATGAAAGTCAGAGAATATAATGTTGGAAACTTTATGCACCGTTATACAGGCCCAGGCAATGATAGAGGATGGAGTGCGCAATGCTTTCTAACTATGATCTGATACTAGTAATCTTGGGTTAAAAAAAAAAAACCCACCCATATCACTTGCAAGAATCATAACATCAGAGTGTGACGGAAAAGTAGTATCCAGTAGCCCCAGAGCGCATATTCAGCAAACTCTTGGTTACTATGAACAGCCTCCTCTGATCGGCCCCGTTATCGTCAATAAACTGGTTATGATCGAATGGAGGTGCTTTTTCACAAATGCACAAATCCAACTAGATCAGCGCACAATCTAGTACATTTCCTTCTCTTCTCAGCCCTTCGTCTTCCTCGCTTAGCTATTGTGATATCTTCATTGAACCAAGGTGCAAGAGGTCATATAGTGATATCGGAAGCTTTAACAGGATTAAACAGATCCAGTACAAGAAATGTTTCCCACCCAGAAAAACTTGAATTCAACCTTCAACATTCGTAAATGTAATAACCCTTTGGGCCGGTTATTTCAACAAAGTTTATCCGTTTAACAATAAAGCATTCTAAGCCATCTCAAATTTAGCCGAACCTTTTATCTGAACACTTTTTTGAACAGTGTCAGAGGGTCGGAAAACTAACAGTGGAAGGACATTTAATTAAATCACTCTCTAAATCCCTGAAGCCCACTGCTGTCGTAAAGCTGCGGTTTGGGTGCAGATAAGCGGCCCTTTGTCATGTTGATTAAATCGGTTACCATGGAGACATTGATATCCTCAGTTGTAAAGATATGAATGGAATGGAAAATATCATGTTTCGGAAACAGAAGAAAAAATGATATTTTTATTGATATCTATGGAATAAAAATCGTTACTGCATATATTATCTTTTCCTCTAGGTTTAAGCATCTGGGTGGGTACATTATCAAGAAAACACTAGATTCCTTGGAGGAGGTGAGATATCTTTACAATATGGTACTATGTAAGAAAGAATTATATGCTGTTCCATGCATATCTTCTCCCAGCTGGTGAAAATGTCATTTCCACACCACTGCTGCTGTTTGGCAAATGTGGGAACCTTTTTTAATCAGATTCTTGTAAAAGATAAGTTATGACGATGTGTTTTTTCGCTCTTTCGGACTTTTGCGGGGAACGCAACAATATCGGGGGAAATAGCTCGGTAGGAAACTCGTCACGATTTCCTGGTACACGGAGATCTGCTTGGAGATAACGTGTACGGAAGTCAAGGACTAGACAGCGTTTGGTTCCAAAGTACTTTTATTTTCGTTCATGCCGACAACCGACATGACCTTTGGTATACTCAACTTCGCAATCACCCCACAGTCCTCAATGTAATCGAAAAAGCTTTACTATGAACTTCCTTAAGTACTATAGTGCGCGTGGTTGTATTGTTCTCCAAATTTCCAATATTATTATCCCAAAAAGCGGAAAATGTCTCTTTCTAGTTAACGATTTTACTTGAGTTTTCCATCTGTTCGGAAACCACTAACTAAGAGAACGGAGATTGTACTCACCATTTCGAAATTAAAAGTACTTATCTTGGAGCAACGTATGGAATAAAAGTTAGAGGGTAATTAGAACTTCTGCTTAACTATGCGATGTTAGTGTTAAGTTTGAACAAAAGGCAACGACGAAAATTATCGTATGGAAGAAAATGATTGCGAATGACAGCCTTCTTCAAATGTAGTTACCACAAAACGTCGCTACCAGGAATATTTACTGATCAGTATCAACTCAGAATGAGATCACAGGTGCAGGTGCTCAAAGGCGGCAAGTACAAAACGATGTGTACTAGTGGGCGATTGAAAAACTACTTCGGGCTTTTCATCTTTTTAAAACATCAATGAATATTGAAGAAAAAAAAAGGATTATTTTTGCTCCAAACAAAAACATGGAAATTATAAATTTTCCCGTAAGAAAGTATGATACTATAGCTTGCAGGTGTCTATGATGTTGTTGTAAATTGCTCTGGGATGAGAGCAAAGGAATTGGTGAATGACTTTTCCATGGATCCTGTGAGAGGTCAAGTATTGAGAGTGAGTAATTGCCTTACGGCAAACTTTAATTTATTTTTGAAAATCCTGGTTAAATTCCGATAACGTTGATAGCGCTTATTTCAGAAAATATTGTTTGTGCTAACAGCTGTGATGGTAGAAGGAATTCTGCTTGGGTTAAAGCTTTCCTGCTCCTTGATCTCTCACCTCGCCATACTTTTGATCAAGGAGTCCGATCACATTTAATGAACTGTCATGGAAACCCTAACAACGCTGTCGATAACATTCAGTGGTATATTTTATTCGCATGAAGTGAATGAACTCCTAATAGCGCAAACGCTTACGAACCAAAACCTCACACTGACGCTAATCAAAATCGATTTGTACAATATTTTTATCAGGATACGTGTAAAGTTACTTTACTCCAGGTAACTCAAACAGTGTTTGTCGGCACGTGATAAGTTGAAGCAAACCGAAGTGTGGTCCAAAACATTGAAGTCTTACTTTGAACCAGCCGCTTAGTATTTGTCAACTTGTCAATCCAGCTCAGGTTCCGCTGGTGTAAATTATATCCTCACAAAGCTCTGATCCTTCTCTCTTTCAAAATTTTCCATTTGTACTCTATTTCTTCGTACTATCCTTACGCGTGTTGGACATGGCCACTTCTTATAATCAATCTCTACTCATAACTTGAATTTGTTTTCAATTTCCATGGAGGGTTTGCGTTATCGACTGCAGCAACAGCTGGTAATACTTTCCTTTGTGTTACTGTACATGAATAATGTGTCAAAAATGTCCTCTGTCGGCCAAATGTAGGTGTTTGCACCATGGATAAAAGAGGCTTATGCGCTGGATACCAAGCACCTTCAGAAGCAGGAGAGATACTGTTATATCCTTCCACAGTAAGGCGGTGTACATTATTTTTAAGGCTTTGCTTATTAGGAGCCTCATTCTTTCATCCTCTTATTCACTTGTCGTCATCGTATTTTGCATTTGCCATTATTATATTTTCTTGAAGGAAACCTATTTGATATCAAATGAAGAGAAGAAAATGAGACAGATTTAAGCAACAGCTTATATTGAAATCCACCTTTGGTATTCTTTCCCCAGAGCAAACGGTGAAGTTGTTCTCGGAGGGACTGGGTATCATCAAACCTCGGACACAAAAATAAGTGCCGATGATACTCGACACATTCTGGAAGTGACAAGAGAACTAGTGCCTAGTCTCGCTGTGAGTCGATCATTTTTGTGGCTACTGCCTCCTTTAGGAGGGTAGCCACATATGTTTTCGGGATGAGTGAGTGTAACGACAGAATTTCGATCTTGACCCAATTTTGACCCGATGTTCCCCAGTGCTACATTTTTTTTTTTCGGATTATCTTCGTAGTTCGACATTCGCATTCGATACACAGTTGACTTCTCTTCTTTTGTGATTTCTCGCTAATACCACTAGCATATAACGTTTTCAGTTCTTTCCGTGACACTATGGAAGACGACATTTCAGGATGTGCGCGATTAAAAATAAAAGTTTTCTTTGCAGAAATATCTAAATAGGTGTGATCGGTGTGATAGGGGGAAAATGTTTTTTCTTTTAAGAGAGAGCATTTTACCGTTTAAATCGGCAATTTCAGTTCTTGCCTTACGTGACAGTACAAAAGACGATAAACATCTCAAAATAATTTTACAGTGGCATCCCACCGACGCATAATTGTCGCACCAGAGCTTTTTTGGTTGTTTACGTGAAAAATCTGTCAACAGGTAGTGTAAACTAAGTGCGACCCCCAGTTTGAAAAACTTGCCAAATTTTTGCAAGTCGCCAATTTTTTTGCACAGACCGTGCGTCACGCGTCATGACCTCGTGCCAAATATTTTCCCGTGCGGCCTTTCCACTCAGTCAATGAGTACATATTATACTTTAAAAAAAAGGTGCCTTTGTTGTTTGGTTTGGCATGTGTTTTGATGTCCGTCTTACAGATGAGAACGGATACTTATAGTGACAGCTCATAATCCTTTCACAAGAAAAAAAATGTAATATCTTTGTTTTCTCCATAAATTTCGATGTCTAGGGCACTGAAGGAAAACCCAGTAGAAACCCTGGGTCTGACCCTAGGCCGTTACGTTTGACTTCATCGAGAGAACTTTGTGACTTTACTCTTGTGAGACTTATTTCATAGATGAAACAAACAATCTGACCAGGGCAAGAATTGTGAAAAATTATATCTTCGTATCTCTTGGGCACAATTCGCTGATTCAAACGGTAGAATACTCTTTCTTTCAAGAAAAGAAATTCCTCTAAGTTTTCATGATACGCTGATCTCACCTTTGAAGACATTTCTGCACGTAAAGGTTTTTTTTCTATTTCATACACCACACTAAAATGATAGTGAGATGTTTGTCGCCCTCTGTAATTTTCTGAAATAAACAATAAGTAGCGGCGGAAAACAGTGTGATCGCGTGGTAACATTCGAAGCAATCCGAAGAAATCATTTTCAAGCGTTGAATGACTGAAGTTGTTCCGAAACAAACAAAAGCCAAGAGTGAGGAATGCCGGGTAAAACTCGGCAGACTTCGCTGAGGGCTTTTATAGCACTAAAACAAAATCTAGAAAACTTCCACTGGCATTAAAGAGAAACAAAGAGGACAAAAACCCAGTCACGTCATCCTTTGGTAAAGCAATTCTCTTTAATGAATACTTCCACTCAGTTTATAGTCATGCTTATGCTGAACCTCCACCACCAGGATCTCACCCTGTTTTACCTATTCATGAAATTTCAACTGTGACTGTTTCTGTTTCTGAGGTAAAATCCATCTTCGAAAACCTGGACCCATCAAAAAGTCCTGGACCAGATGGCATAACTGCCAGGCTCTTGAAAGAGT